GCGGGAGTGCCGCCGCGCTCCCAAGCGGCGCACTCTCCAGTGTGCCACCGGGCCGGCCCTTAAGTAAATATTTTTACATGATAAATTTTAGTGATACATTTACAATTTAAAAGGTCAGAAAAGTAATATTGATCTGCCTGTGCTGCTCAAATTCATCATTTGGACATCATAACCCTAATAAATGTGTTTGCAAATTACTTGTAACTTCTTAAAGAGAGGCAGCAAAGGGTAGTAATAAAAAGAGTAAGCTTTGGCAACAGGGATAAACAGGTTTGAATTTTGACATCTCTTTCCATTTCTGCTGAAATAAAATCAACTTGAGTATTTTCTTTTCACTTTAAAACTAGACAGTTAAAAACCTTCATGTAGGGCTGGCCCGTGGCTCACTTGGGAGAGTGTGGTGCTGATAACACCAAGGCCCCGGGTTCGGATCCCATATAGGGATGGCCGGTTGGCTCGCTGGCTGAGCGTGGTGCTGACAACACCAAGTCAAGGGTTAAGATCCCCTTACCGGTCATCTTTAAAACAAAAACAAAAACAAAAACAAAAACAAACAAAAAAACCTTCATGTAAATAAGGAATGTGAATCGCACAAATTGGTAAAAAAAAGAGAAACCTGCTCACCCTCAAGTTTATTGGTTCATCTAGCATTCCTAACTGTCTTAGAAGATTTTATTTTTTAAAGTCATATATTGTTTAAATTATACAAATAATGGGCCAAGAGTGAAAATAAAAGATAAAAATCTGATCATTTTTATTCCACTTGGATTTCATTTATTGGTACTTTAACAACTACCATCTGACAATGGAGGCCCTTGCCATACCAACGAAAAGGCAATCCTTACACGCCTTCATCAGATCTCAGAGAACGAGGGGCCACGGCTGGCTGTCTCAGCTCTGGACTGCTGAGAGGGGGCCGCTCAGGAGAGTCTGCAGTGCCTCCCCTGACATCCTGACTCAAATATCAGATGGGGATCAGGAAAAGGAAGAGGTCACCTTTTGGGAGAGTACAGCATTCCTTCTACCCACCCCAAAGTACCACCCAAAGTTTGGGAGACTCTAAGAACACATGGACATTTCACTCCCCATGACACTTCACTTCTCATAGGCTATGTGCTCTGCCACTGAGCTTGTGGGCCTGTGGGACCCACAAGGGGGGGACCAAGCTACTCCTCCACAGCTGCCCATACCCAAAGGTTCAGAAGATGGCTCCCAACAGGATTCAGAGACTGAGATTGGGAGCCACAGTCCCACAGGTACTGTTAAAGCAGGGGGGCAGAGAGACCCCTCCACCAGAAGAATGGGCTGTGCTGCCCCCAGCTGAGGACTGCAGACATCTACCTCAGCTGGTCCTGCTGCAGCCACCCCACATTTCCCACAGAACACCTGGCTTCAGTTGTCAGCACCAATCCAGCCAGCTCCAAATGCCTGCAGAGTATGCTTCAGTGTTAAAATGAAGTTTGGAAGAGAATAGGACTAAGTCCTGAAGAGTCAAAACAAGACTGTTTAATAGCTATAAATGACTGAAAAGTTATAGAATCAGGTTGATATGCCATTATATGAGGGGAAAGTGAGGAGGTTGACTGTAGTTACTAGACAAAATACAACCATTTAAAGTTCTAAATCAAATGAACTGAGATACCACTTACATGGTGAGTAATGAAGACTACCCACAGGTACAATGTATTGTTTACAAACTAGCCTGAAAATGGTTTCTTCATCTCATTATGTAGAAACAATATAAAAAAGGAACATAATTTAAGATGCAAAGGGCAAGAGTTCCAAATTACATTTGGAGAGTCACTCATATTATTGACATTTCTCCCATACTGTTCTATCAGACTGACAAGATTTCTTTCCCTGGAATTTAGTCCAGCCTCTGTCATAAGATGGTTTATCAGTAGGATATCTGGACTGTTGAAGCCTTTGATAATCTACACAACTTACTTAGCAGAAGCATGCTACATTCAATGAGAAACCAGAATACCCAGGTTCTAGTTATGAATCAAAGCACCAAGCAAGTGACTTAAACTTGGTGTCTTAGTTTCCCCATCTGTGCCACATGTGTCACAGCAGAGGCCAAACTAGAGGAAGTGCCAAGCTAGTGCTGGGCAGTGACCAGTGCTAAGTGTCAAATTCCAACAAACAGCCTGTAATGGCACACCTCCCCATGTGCACAGCATGAAGACATAGCCACACCCAAACTACATGGCTATTTGTGATTTTTTTCCCTCTTTAC